TTTATAAATTCATTTTATAAATTCATTTATAAATTCATTTTATAAATTCATTTATAAATTTATTTATAAATTCATTTTATAAATTCATTTCATAAATTCATTTCATAAATTCATTTCATAAATTCATTTCATAAATTCATTTCATAAATTCATTTCAAAAATTGGGAGCTTGTCAATAGAAAGAAAGAAGATTTCTTCTAAGTTTTTTAAACTTCAAATTAAAATATCTCAACAACTATTAAACTAAATTTAATAAATGTTTTTTTTTATTTTAATTCTATTAAATTATAAAAATAAATTTAATTTAGTAGTTATTAAGATATTGTAATTTAAAAAAAAAAGTTATTAAAACTTTCCCCCCTTTTCTTATTGACAAGCTCCCAATTCATTTCATAAATTCATTTCATAAATTTGATTCATAATTCGATTCATAAATTCGATTCGATTATAAATTCGATTCGTAAATTCGATTCATAAATTCGATTCGATTCATAAATTCGATTCGATTCATAAATTCGATTCGATTCGTAAACTCGATTCGTAAATTCGATTCGTAAATTCGATTCATAAATTCGATTCATAAATTCGATTCAAAATTCGATTCACAAATTCGATTCATAAAAATGATACACACATATAGATATATAGATAGAAATGATTCTATAATTTATTTATTATGCAAATAATTTTGACCATGAAAAATATACATGCATCTGAATATATAGAATGCAACAGACAAGAGAAATGAGTAAAAATACACTATTAAACAAAAGACCAAAATAAATATCACTCCTACGCGTTGTTTCGCGACAATACAGTAAAAAAAAAAACAAGTCAGCTTGGTCTGTTTAAATTATGAAAATCAAAATACGAAATTTGTGTGGCCTAAATTGAAAATATAACACTATAGTTGACGCTCGGAAATATGTTCACGAGGTTGGAATCGATTCAAATCATTTTGATTATAAGAAGAATTATGAGCACTCTGGGCACGACCAGATGGATCTTCAGGACATCCTTTTTATATTGTAACGAAAAACAAAGATAATAATAAATCAACATGTATACATTGCATTATTTAAAATAGTAATAATAATAAATCAATAAAAAATAAAGGGAAATTCTATTTTGATCCGGGTCAAAATGACCCTCAGCAAAATTTTAGGGTTAGTGCGGGCCAGAATTATGTTGATGCCGGCCAGGGTTTTTTTAATATAAAAACCCAGCCGGCATTTATATAATTCTGGCCCGCACTAACCCTAGACCCGGGTCAAAATAGAAATTCCCCCAAAAATAATAAATAATAACATACCCCAATCTCTTCTTGGAATCCATCTTACTACACTTTCGGTACAATAATCACCTGGGAATAAACTTTCAAATTGTTCTCTATACCAATAGGCTTCTTTAGTTTGTGGAGGATCTTTAGACCAACGTTTAGCAGAATTAGCTAATTGGTCATCTGTAACGGATTTTTCACTAATGTCACGAAGAGTATCAATCCAGCTGTATCCTACACCATCGGAAAATTGTTCCTTCTGACGCCAGAGAATCGAATCGGGTAGATAAGGATGAGAATCACCAGTTGTTGAAACATCAAATGCTTTACGAAGGATGTACTATAATATAATGTTAAGACAAAATTAAACAAAAAAAATTTTAAATTTATAAATAAATTAAAGTTTTAGACATTTGCAAGATAAATGTATTAATATATTATAAAAATCGTAAACATACTTTTTCCATTTTTCCATCTTTAGGCATCTTTTCTTCAGGATCAATTGTCATAACAACATCAAGGAAATCTTTATCCAAGAATGGTACTCGAGCCTCAAGTCCCCAAGCCATTGTTGATTTATTGGCACGTAAACAATCAGAAGTGTGCAAGTTCTTTACACGATCAACAGTTTCCTTGTGAAAATCAACAGCAGATGGAGCGCTATGGAAATATAGATAACCTATATACAATATAACAAAATATATTGTCGTTTGTTATTTTCATTTTGAAGATATTTATATATTATTATATAGTATAATATAATAAAATCAATACCTCCAAGCATTTCGTCGCTTCCTTCACCACTTAAGACCATTTTAACGCCCATTCCACTAATTTTTCTCGATAATAAATACATTGGAGTACTAGCTCTAATAGTTGTTACATCATAAGTTTCCAAATGATATATGACGTCGTGAAGAGCATCAAGACCTTCTTGAATAGTGAAGGTATATTCATGGTGATCAGTGCCAAGAAATTCAGCAACCGAACGTGCAGCTATTAAATCTGGAGAACCCTGAAGGCCAATAGAAAACGAATGAATTTTGGTCCATGTAGTTACAACTCCTGTTAAAAAAAAAAAAAAAAAAAAAAAGTATTAATAATTAATAACAGATTAAATAACCGATAAAGGTAACCGATA